CAGTATTAACTAACACTTATTGCAATTATGGATGCGAAGCACTTGTTGTAATTTATCTACTTCAGTAATTTTGAAATCGGTAAAAAGCTTTTGGGTTTTGCTAGATTTACATGTAATGAATGAGATGGTCTCAAGTCTCAACCTATACTGAAGTGTTAATCCTATTCCATGACCGGCAAATAGTCAACCCTGTTTAGATTTAGGTAATTTGATCATCTTTTCATCATTCTACGTTTGGAAATATGAAAATCTCTATCGCAAATTGTCAAATCTCAATCAGTATTTATCAACCGAGAGACACTTCTTACGTATTTTATAGTTATTATTTAATTTAACGATCTTCTCTTCATTTTACATGTGGAAAAATGGAAATCTACGTTGGAAATTATCAAGACGTAATCAGTATTTGAAAGACTTGTTCCGTATTGTGTGGTATTTCTCTAATATGGTCATATTTTTATCATTCTACGTTGGGAAATATGAAAATCTCTATCGAAAATAGTCAAATCTCAATCAGTATTTACCAACTGAGAGAGAAACTTCTTACGTATTTTCTAGTTATTCTTTAATTTGACGATCTTCTCTTCATTCTACGTATGGAAAAATGGAAATCTATGTTGGAAATCAAATACAATCAGTATTTGAAAGACTTGTTCCGTATTGTGTGGTATTTCTCTAATATGGTCATATTTTTATCATTCTACGTTGGGAAATATGAAAATCTCTATCGAAAATAGTCAAATCTCAATCAGTATTTACCAACTGAGAGAGACTTCTTACGTATTTTCTAGTTATACTTCGATTTAACGATCTTCCCTTCATTCTATGTGTGGAAAAATGGAAATCTATATTGGAAATTATCAAAACACAATCAGTATCTGAAAGACTTGTTCCGTATCGTTTTGTAATTTGTTAATTGGATCATTTTTTTCATCATTCTACCTTTGGAAAATATGAAAATTCCTATCGAAAATTATCAAATCACAATCAGTATTTATGAATTTAAAGAAACTTCTTCCGTATTTTATGGGTTTTCTTTAACATTACGACGTTCTCATTATTCTACATTTGGTAATATGAAAATCTATGTTGAAAATTATCAAATCACAATCAGTATTTACGATTTGAAAGAGACCTGTTCCGTACTTTATGGCTATTCTTCAATTTTACGATCACGATTCCACGTTTGGAAACATGGAAATCTGTGTTGAAAATAATCAAATCCCAATCAGTATTTATGATTTGAGACACATCATTGTTCCGCGGATTGTAAGATATTGTTATTATAAATAATTGTTCATTACACGAACATGTAAACGTAGACATGTGCATCATTGTACTTTTAAGTGATAACCCCTATCCGTGTTTGGTCATCGCGGAACCAGATAAGATCAGGTCGACACCACCACCATACATTACATACATATATACATGCACATGACTCTTCACGTCCGTTGTACATACGGTAAATGTTTGTGGATAACAATAACAGATATCAAACCAACAACGACGAGAGCGGCAACAGTGCAACGGAGCGATGCGAGAGAGCTCGACAGGGCGGTCACCGGAAGCGCTAAATAACAATGAACAGTGAGCGCAGCCTGCTACAATTATTACCGTCGGTCTGCCGCCCACACTTCCGGTTGCCGCCGCGTCGCACTCCGCGCTCCCGGCTGCCGCGATACGATGCGTGTTATGGGCACAATGAGAGCTGCCGTAACAACCGAGAACGATAACGTACCGGTATCGCCGGCAGTATGTATTAGCGTTCCGACAGTCCGTCTCTTTAATGATGATCAACGCCGAATACGGGGGACTCGTTAAATTGGATCAGATTTATTACGTTACCACAGCAGTTCAAATACAACAACAACAACAACAACGAAAAAAGAGCGTTGACTTTTTATTATAGATGTAACAAACATAAATCCGTTCCGTATTTGCGTCTGAAAGTTCCGTATTCAGTATCGACAACATTAGTCCTACATTATTATTATTAGCCCTAAATATTGAGAGAGATTTCTTACGTATTTTCCAGTTATTCTTTAATTTGACGATCTTCTATTCATTCTACGTGTGGAAAAATGGAAATCTATGTTGGAAATTGTCAAAACACAATCAGTATTTGTAAGACTTGATCCGTATCGTATGATATAGTTCTTTAATTGGATCGTTTTTTCATAATTCTACCTTTGGTAATATGAACATCTCTATCGAAAATTGTCAAATCTCAATCAGTATTTACTAACTGATAGACTTCTTACGTATTGTCTAGTTATTCTTTAATTCTATGTGTGGAAAAATGGAAATCTATGTTGGAAATTATCAAAACACAATCAGTATTTGTAAGACTTGATCCGTATCGTATGGTAATTTTTTAATTAGATCGTTTTTTCATAATTCTACCTTTGGTAATACGAAAATCTCTATCGAAAATTATCAAATGTCAATCAGTATTTACCAATTGAGAGAGAAACTTCTTACGTATTTTCTAGTTATTCTTTAATTTGACGATCTTCTATTCATTCTACGTTTGGTAATACGAAAATCTCTATCGAAAATTATCAAATGTCAATCAGTATTTACCAACTGAGAAAATGAGACTTCTTACGTATTTTCTAGTTATTCTTTAATTTGACGATCTTCTATTCATTCTATGTGTGGAAAAATGGAAATCTATGTTGGAAATTATCAAAACACAATCAGTATTTGTAAGACTTGATCCGTATCGTATGGTAATTTTTTAATTAGATCGTTTTTTCATAATTCTACCTTTGGTAATACGAAAATCTCTATCGAAAATTATCAAATGTCAATCAGTATTTACCAATTGAGAGAGAAACTTCTTACGTATTTTCTAGTTATTCTTTAATTTGACGATCTTCTATTCATTCTATGTGTGGAAAAATGGAAATCTATGTTGGAAATTATCAAAACACAATCAGTATTTGTAAGACTTGATCCGTATCGTATGGTAATTCTTTAATTAGATCGTTTTTTCATAATTCTACCTTTGGTAATACGAAAATCTCTATCGAAAATTATCAAATGTCAATCAGTATTTACCAACTGAGAAAATGAGACTTCTTACGTATTTTCTAGTTATTCTTTAATTTGACGATCTTCTCTTCATTCTACGTATGGAAAAATGGAAATCTATGTTGGAAATCAAATACAATCAGTATTTGAAAGACTTGTTCCGTATAGTATATATAGTATGTCCATTAGTCTTAGATTATTATACCAGCTAAGGATTTTTTTTGACTTCCTATACATAGCCGAAATAAGAATGTTCCGGGTGTACATTACGCCGATCTTTTTCTGAAATTCCTATATTTTATAGAAAACTAATTAAACCACAATCACCTTTTTAGTATTCTGTTGTCTATCAATGAAAATTTATTTTATGGAAAACTTAATAGATCATATACCTTTCTTTCTGGTGAAATTCCCCCATTTAACGAAGACTGTGTAGAAAATCGTAAATGATTAGGAATCCCTTATGGAAATTACGTATTTTATGGACAATTTCTTTCAGAGTTGTGTTTTTATCACAATCTTACAAAACCATAAAAGTTCGTATTACATAGAAAGCCTCATAAATTACCTGTTTATCGGTAACTTTATTATGAGATTCCTGTTTGTATCAATTTTATGAAAAGTGTATAAAACAAGCGACCATTGCTATGAAAATTGCGTATTTTATGGAAAACCCATTGAAAAATCGCTAACTCTCCTCGCGATCGAATCAGATTTGACATTAATTCACTTAACTAAAGTTAACAGGAACACCTACGCGTTCAAACACAAAAAACCTAAACCATTACCGTAGAACATTGCTACCATTGTAGATAAGGTCTAGTTCTATTTGTTCGTAAGACATTTATTATTTTTTTTTTTTTTTCGTATACGAAATGGATTGCGTACTGACCCATTATGGTATGTTATTGCTCAGTTAATTTAGATGTGTTCTGAATGATTCGGACGCGATCTCGTAGTGGTATCATAATCAAATATCAATAACGCCGTGATAGGTATGTGTGGTGTGGAACAACAAGAACATTTCTTGATCCAGTAGGCGTTTAATTGGCCAATGTAACATGCACGTGCCCATGTGTAGTCGACCGACCATTTTGTACAAGAATTGATCGTCATCATATGCATGCTTCACTGATTACTGATTAAGTGCCATTGGAACAGGTTAATAATAATTCGATTGATTGAGTTGGGAGGGGGGGCAAAAACGAGACGAAACAATGTCCGATTCTGTCGCAATTTCATACGGAAAAAGCTCTTTATTCGCGGGGTATACGTTCCATAAATATGCAGCGAATACAGAAACCGTGGATCATAGGGGATACGTTCGAAGGTTCCCAAATCAAACCAGCTTATATCAAAATAAAATCAATGTATTGATAAATTCTTCTGTTTACCCGATTACATCTTTTATAAAAGTCGCCTCGGCACATTAAGGGGATTCAGTAGTACACGCGCCGTAGAGTAAAAACATGCTTATCGGTTCTAGATGTCATGAGTTTAATGTTTGAAGCAGAGGTTTGAAATTTTGTAGTAAGATAGATAAACCTTTGTTCTAAAGCCTGTAGAAGGTCATTTTTTAATTTTTTAATTTCTATTGAAAATACGTGTCCTACAAGAAGCATCAAATTTAAGCACTTGTAAAAGCTTTTAATGACCATGTTATTGAAAACCAAAAACGTACCGAGTTACTGTGCACCTTTGTCTGTTACCATACAAAAAATCACATATTTATCTCGCAGTGTTAAATCAGAATGTTTAAAATAGAAACCCATGTTTTAGGGAAAATTCGCACTAGGCACGAGCGGTCTATTGCGGTCAATCCCCTTAATCAATGACACCGAATCCTTTTCTGTTTACCAATTGCAACCGCGAATAATGAAAGTTTTAGCCGCGAAAAAAGGAACTGGATTGCACTTGTGAATAAGAAACTTTTACTGTATTGTAGGTATTAAGTAGCTTACCATTAAAACCATGAATATCTTATGATTTCTTCGGAATACTGAGCTTTTGATATGGTCATTAAACAACAAAACTTTATCGCTTTTGTCAACCAGTGAGGTCTGTCACTATTTTAGGGATTGTCCTTTCTCTATTTATTGATCTTGTTTAAAAACGCTTCTTCTTGATCTTCTTCCTGGAAAAAAGATAAACAACGATAAAATAACACGGTAAGGAGTCCTCTAAAAGTATATATTGTAAAAAAAATAAGTTTCGGATGTTTTATTTGCCATACTGATCCAAGAAAACTACCGGAAAATTACGGACCCGATATCGAACCCGTGTTTTCCCAAATCGGTGATACTGTAGAAGATAACTAGGGATTATGAGAAAATAAGGCCGGTGTTCTATTTATATATTAATCGCTTGTTTTATGAAACTTTTCTGTAACTTATTAATGTGAAAATTCATTTTCCATTTTCCATCCACTACAAACTGCTTCAGATTAATGAACATTGATGTGTAAAGTCAAACCAAAATTTTCCCTCATTAACCACTACAAAAGATATTTTGTAGTGGATGGAAAATGAATTTTCACATTAATATTTCATATTAACTACTATTAAATATTAAAAATGTTATTGTATGTAACTTTCTCGTTGAACCTATCAACTTTTGATAGAAATAATTTTTCAATGGAAAACATCGTTGGGGTTAAATACTAATAGTTTGCAGAGCTACTTCGTGCGGCCCAGTTGTATACTATAAAGGTACCGCGACTCGCTCCACAGAATTCATTTGAACTGCTACATAAAATACTATAAAAAAACACATAAATATCTATTTTTTTAGTAGTTGTGTACCCTAGCTAGCCCTGTTAAGAGATCTTAATAAAGCTGTTTCACAGTTTATTGTGGTTGTTGAATGATTTTTTCATTTTGATCATTGTGTCTTATTTTTTTAATAATTAGGTGAAGTAGGGCACCTTCTCAAGCATTAAAGGGTAGTTACAAACATATTGGAAGCAGAAACAGAAGTTAAGAAGGGTAGAGGTAGA